CGAGGTTGGTCATAACTAATTTCATGGCTGCAATCACCATCTGCAGTGATTTTGGAGCCCCCCAAAATAAAGTTAGCCACTGTTTCCCCATCTTTTTGCCATGAAGTGATGGGACCAGATGCCATGATCTTAGTCTTCTGAATGTTGAGCTTTAAGCCAACTTTTCCACTCTCCTCTTCCACTTTCATCAAGAGGCTTTTTAGTTCCTCTTCACTTTCTGCCATAAGAGTGGTGTCTTCTGCATATCTGAGGTTATTGATATTTCTCCCAGCAATCTTGATTCCAGCTTGTGCTTCCTCCAGCCCAGCATTTCTCATGATGTACTCTGCATATAAGTTAAATAAGCAGGGTGACAATATATAGCCTTGACATACTCCTTTTCCTATTTGGAACCAGTCATTGTCCCATGTCCAGTTCTAACTGTTGCTTCCTGACCTGCATATAGGTTTTTCAAGAGGCAGGTCAGGTGGTCTGGTATTCTCATCTCTTTCAGAATTTTCCACAGTTTATTGTGATCCACACAGTCAAAGGCTTTGGCATAGTCAATAAAGCAGAAATAGATGTTTTTCTGGAACTCTCTTGCTTTTTTGATGATCCATCAGATGTTGGCAATTTGATCTCTGGTTCCTCTGTCTTTCCTAAAAACAGCTTGAACATCTGAAAGCTCACGGTTGGCGTATTTGCTGAAGCCTGGCTTGGAGAATTTTAAGCATTACTTTACTAGCATGTGAGATGAGTGCAATTGAGTGGTAGTTTGAGAATTCTTTGGCATTGCCTTTCTTTGGGATTGGGATGAAAACTGAACTTTTCCAGTCCTAGCTTAAAGATGGAAACAACCCAAATGTCCACCAACTGATAAACAAGTAAATAAAATGTGATAAATGTATACAATGGAATATTACTTGTCAAGGAAAAGGAATGGAGTGCTGATACATGAGATAACAGGAATAAATGCTGAAAATGTTACTTAAATGAAAGTTGCCAATCATGACAGAACTCCTGTTGCATGATTCCATTTATATGCAATAACCAGAACCGACAAATCTATGGAGACAGGAAATTGAATAGTAGTTGCCTAGGGCTGAGGTGAGTGGGAAGAACAGCATGTGACTGCTAATTTAGAACATGAGATTTCTTAAGGGGACGATGAAAATGTTCTAAAGTCTACAGTAATGGTTGCAACACTAAATACTCTAAAATCCATGGAATTGTACACTTTTTTATTTACTATTTTAAAGGTTTTTTTTTTGATGTGGACCATTTTTAAAGTCTTTACTGACTTGGTTAGAATATTGCTTCTGTTTTATATTTTGGTTTTTTTGGCCGCAAGGCATGTGGGGTCTTAGCTCTTTGCCAGGGATCAAACCTGTACCCTCTGCACTGAAAGGTGAAGTCAATCACTGGACCACCAGTGAAGTCGCCAAAATGCTACACTTTAAATGAGTGAATTATATCTCAGTAAAGCTGTTCTACTAAAAAGATCAATGTGGGAATAAATTAAGTTCCTATATTATTTGCCTTTAAGGCAATATCAAAGAGAGCCAGATTAAATAGGGCAGGCTCTTCAAAGTACAGAGAACCTGAACAAGATCAAAATGTGCATGTGGGATCAGAAAACATCAAGTTAAAGAACAAGGTCATGTGAGTTATTTGCCTCAAAATAAATATTTCATCTGTTCACTGCAGAGTTTACTAGTTTAAGAGAAGCCATAACAAAGCAGTAGTGAAAAGTATTGGGCTTTACGGAAAGCACAGAGGGCCAGGTTATATAATCTTATGTAGGTCAGTTAATTTCAAAAGCTATTTTCTCTAGTTTCATTACTTGTCAATCACCTTATTTCATGGGCGTATTCTTAAGGCAATTAATGGATAATATACTTCATATTTACAGAGTGCCAGGGTCTGAAAACACCACTAAGGTTTATTTCAGGCACTTGCACAGGCTTTTTTTTTTTAGTTCATTTGTCTTTATTATGATTCCATGATTGTTTCTGGTTGAAAGATCAGTATTTTTGATACTGCACATACTTATAGCAAGTGATCTGCAGGGTAAGTGAGTTAAAGCACCAAGTTATAAAGGCTTTCTACTTGAAGGATGTTATAATAGGCACAAAATAAATGTAAAAAACATTTGCGTCTTTCAAAATGCTTGGAAAAAGTGCTTAAAACTATCTTAAAAGTAAACAATGATTTCATATATTTTTGAACTTTAAGGTTTCATTTTGAAATAGATCCCACAAAGGCACGATGATATATTGGAGGAGGAAAAGAGATTAAAAATAGCCCAATAAATGACCCATGTATGATCCTTTTTTTGTATACCTTCTTCAAAAATATCAGAATTAAGAAATCAGACCTACCAAACCATGATTTTAACCAAAAGTACACTTAAATCCTACTCTTCGTATCTTCTTTCAGAACATATTCAAATTCTCACTCACTTTAGTGTAACTCATATATTTGAATCCAGAGGTTTAAGATAATTGGCCTAATTTTAAAGAAGAAAAATGAATGTAAGTGGTTTTCATTAAACACAGGATATAACCCTTCAATTATTTTGCTTTTGTTTTAAATTCTTTTCATTGTCTTTCATCTTCTACTTCTCCTGTAACTATAAATGTTTTAGTCTGTATGACAAGTAACACAAATCTGGCTTGATTAAGGAAAACAGTATGACCCATACTGGGTTGAAAGATACTAAAAAGTTCTGCCATATAACATAGGGAGCCCAACCCGCCTCTGTGATGACCTCTGTGAGATGGGGGGAGTGGGTGGGAGGCTCAAGAGGGTGGGAATATACTTATGGCTGATTCGAGTTATTCTACAGCAGAAACAAACACAACATTGTAAAGCAATTATTTTCCAATTAATACAAAAAAAGAAAAAAAAAGTTCTATGCAGCTGTGTCACTGAACTCAGGACTTAGAGCAGTGAGAGACAAAAATGCACCAACAGATAACTAAGGACTTTGTGGTTGATGAAAAGCAAACCTACAAGACACTGGATTGTATGATGATGTGATATGAGCTGGAGAAACTGTTTAATTTTAGCATGTGAAAAATCACATGAATAAACAAGTGCAAATAGAACACTCTTATTTCTGGAATACAAGTTGTTATTTAGTTTCTTTTTCTTGACTTTTTTTTTCCTTTGGCACCCTGGTGCAAAATATAGAATGCAGAATTGAGATTCTAAATCGCAGCATATATTAGCTACAAGACAAATTTGGGGCAATTAACTTCATTGGTTGTACATTCATTAATTTCAACTTCATAATTTTTCTATTGTAGTAGAACATTTACCAAGAAACCTACTCTTTTAATAATTTTTATATGAAGAGCAGAACTGTTAGCTGTACTCTATTATAGACACAACGGTGTACAGATCTCTAGGACTTATTCATCTTACATAACTGAAACTTTCTATCTGTGGAATCTCCCCATTTCCTCCTCCTCCTCCAGTCCCTGGAAACCACCATTCTGCCCTCTGCTTCTAGGAGTTTGAATACTTTATTATTCTTTTATTTAAAAAAAATTTTTTTAATTGGAGGATAGTTGCTTTACAATGTGTTGGTTTCTGCTGTACAACAACGGGAATCAGACACAACTACACCCCCGCCCCCCCCCTCCCCCCCCCCGCTTTTGAGCCTTCCTCCTTGACTAATTTAGATACCTCCTATCAGTGGAATCATAAAGCGTCTGTCCTTCTGTGATCAGCTGATTTCACTTGGCATATGTCCGCCACTCTCACCCATACTGTCACATCATAATGTTTTAAATGGTTAACTTCAGCAGAGCAGATACGTTGGTGGCAACGGGGCCACACCTTGCTTTATCAGTTTTCTGCTTCTGCCCTTTATGAGTCCTCTTGCAGTCAAGACTGTCACACCTGGAGATGACTTCCCTGCCCACTGAGGTGAGAACATTGTTTTCATGTTTGGAAGTACTTTTTTTTTTTTTAAGTCAAGTTCTCCTGGCAGCTCCTCTGCAAACTACTACGGCAGCTGGGCTAGAGGTCATGAATATTACATAAGGGCAGTCCATGCATTCAAACCAGCATCTCCAAGCCATGATTCCCATAGCAACACACAGAGATTTTACTCATCTCAGAGACGAAGCAGCCAGAAGTATTCTAATGTTATCCTGGATTTTTGTTTTTTAGTAAGATCAACACTTACTCTTTTTTCAAAGCAGTCATTTTTTTCAAAGAAAACCGATGACCTCGTTAAAATAGGTTCATTTAAAAATTACCAAGTATCACACACACCAAGGCCCTTTGAACTTGAACAACAGCAGTCTATGCTTTAGAAATAGCTGCTATTTGAACTACTGCAGGGGAGAAAGAATCCAAATCATGGAAATGTGTGAAATGAAACAGTCTCAGCTAAATTCTGTACTTCTATGTTTCATATCTGGTTTCCAGTCCCCTTCCACTTAATTATTATGGGATGGAGAAGAAAGAGCTCCAAAGGGAGGGACATCTTTAATTAATAAAATCCTTCCTTGCTTGCTTTTTGAAAAGCATAATGCAATCCATTTTTTTAAATATAAGAAAAATACTATTATAAAACACCTAAGGAGTAAAAGTGAGAGGAAAGGTTGTTCAAGTCGAAGAGAATAAACATCAGCTTGAAGAAAGTTTGTTTTTCTAAGCAGAGAAATGGTTTCCTGAAAACAAAACAAAGTAAATCCTGTTCTTATTAGAAGCAGTTTTTCCTCTTTGTATATTCAGGGATCATTTTTCTGCATCTAAATAAACCATCCACCCATGGAAACAAGTTGCTTGGATTATAAAACAACATAAAAGGCAAGACCACTTATATATTACACTGCCTTTTTCTACCAAGGGAAGTCAGTACATTCCACATCCTGTACCTCTTTACAGCCAATCAAGAACACGGTAACAGACCAGATGTACATTTCAGAAGGAACTTCCGCAGGTGGCCCACCATGGACTCAGCACAATGGACAAAGAGCTTGGCACAGAAGGAAGGGTTTTACCTTTGCTTTTTCCAACTGGGCCTGGGCCTGTCGCTCTGCTTCTCTGCGCACTGCCTCCCGATCTTCCTCCAAAGAAACATCTGAATCGGATGGACGGCTGGTGTAGGAGTCTGCCGAACCCTGGAGAGGAAAATGGACATTTTAAAAGAGATTCCGTCTATGACGCTGGCCATGGAAAAGTCTCACTGACACGGCAGTTAGCTTCCTAGATTGTGCTGTCCATTCCTGAAAAGAGGAATAAAAAGAATCCATTTTGGTGGCAAACCAGCTACATACATCCAGCTTTGGTTTGCAGACCACTCACTAGGAGAGTTACCCCATCCAAGTTATTGATACCCTTCCTTCCCAAATCTTATGCTCCAATTAGGAGCCTTTCTGAAAGCCAGAACAAGTTCTCTTATCAATAAACTGACTCTGTGGTGCAGTGCAGTGAAGGACACACACACCGTTTTCAAGGAGAGCTTCAAGAACAGTCCACAGCTACAGTGAGAATTTACAAATAGGAAGAAGATAGGCTAAAAACAAAAAACAAAAACAACAAATATAAAGTCAAGGGAGTTATCAACTTTAACTCTCTGACGCCACTACCATAGATGACCCCCTCTTTGATCTTAAGCAGCCTTTGGTACCTGTTTTTACCCAATGCCTCCTCTGACAAAACTGTAAGGCAACAGCTGCCAGCTTCCCTCAATCTTTAAGCAACATATCTTTTTCAATCCCTTTAGGTAGATATTTCATCAAAGCTGTCTACGGGAAAACACCTGCCCTGGGGGAGCTCCGAGGGCGATAAACCACCGCAGAGGAAAAGGAGCTAGAGGATTAGAGGGCTCTCTTCCGCTCCCTCTCTCGCAATCAGCATCATATTAATAATCACAGGAGCCCCAGACAGCCCTCACTTGTACCAGCGACAGAAACAAAGACAAAATAACGTCTCCCCTCTACGAAAGCCCTGAAGCTTACACAGATATCCGAATTCTTCAGCCTTCCTCCCTTGGCGCGTTTCAGAAGCCTGATCCAGGTGGCCTTCATCAGCCAGACAGCGCCTTTCCCGTCCGCAGCTGCAGCCCCGGGCACTGATCCTCAGCGCGCGCTGAGCCCCGCAGAACCCCTGCTCGGTTCCCATCCATGCTCTGGGCAAACCCCCGCTTCTCCGTCCCTTTCGGCCTCCGGGGCTCTCACTTCCTACCCCGGAGGACTCCAATCCAAAGAGATTCTTATTTTCTCATCCCAGTGGGGAGGGGAAACAAACACTTGGATGCTTTTGATGGCTTTAAAGATAACACTCGAAGAGCATCCAAAGACAGGCATCAATTCGTCCTAAACTTCATGCATCTTATGACCCTCTCATCTTCCCTGCTCTTGGATTGTTAAAAGACATTAGTAGTGCGAGAACCTTAAGGGGGGTGAAAAACCCAACCTAGTGCAAAACGTCTGCGGTGACATTTGCAAGTGCAAAGTTCAAGGCTTATCTTCAGAGATCTGGAGGGGGAGGGGGGAGGACGCGCTCACCGCACTGGGCATGCTCCGCCTGTAGCCTTTTTACGCAGACGCTCACATCACCCGGTTAGTCTGTCAAATTGCCATTTTGCATCTGAAGTGTAAACAGCTGGAAAGGGCTTTTTGATTCTATAGTAACAGGCACCTGGGATGTTTGACATGCTTCTATTTCAGATGAAACGTCTCGAAGATGAAACCTGTACTCGCTCCCTTTTTCCTCTTAACGATCTCTTTCCATTAATCTGCTGCGGAAAGTATATTCTATGCCATAGGACAATTCATAGATAATAACTATGATATATGATATTGCTGAGCAACCGAAATCAAATCATGCTCATCCATTCTAATATAAAAGCCGCTCTTGATGGCTCCATTTCCTAAACAAAATGCAAGACAGAGATTTGCTCACTGAAATAAGACTTGAAAGTAACCAGAGCGCTAAGCAATGAATTTAACGGAGCTCAAAGTGACTTTGAACCGCTTCTCCAACTGAGCAACTATCCTTCCAAATAAAGTCACTGAGATAAATAACCATGTGAATTGCTGTCACAGCAATTAGGAACAAATGTAAAAGCTTGGTTGATTTATTAGCTGGAGTTAATTTTCATAGAACCATTTAGTCCAAACTCTTTAAAGTGACTGAGGCTTGGGAAAGAATTATACTTATTCATTTCCAGTATTAATGGGATTACTTTTTTGAAAGTTTATGAAGAAATACACACTTCCAGGTTTCCTAAAGTAAACATAAAATTCTATCACTGCATTCTAAACTATGTTTTGTTTGGGCGGGGGAGCAATTATTTTGTAAGGTCTCATGCAAATGAAAGAAAGCATTCTTAAGAAAATCTTCCTTACTTTTCCCCTCCCTCCCTCCATCCCACCACCCTCTCCCCATTTTCCCCAACCCTCCCCATCCCTATTCCTTTCATTTCAAGATTAAGATCAATCTTCATGACTTAAATAGAAAATACAGGAGAGGCTTTAGAATAAACACTGTAGATCAAATGCACCCTCACTGTGGTATCATAACATAAATTAATAGATTACTTATATTTTTATCAAGTGAATACAAAATGCATGGGGACACAGAAAATGCATTGCAATTTTTTGCTTCTTGTAAAATTCACAGAGGGGATAGGAGTTTTTCTATACCAACACACATGCTAGAGTATTCCTAATTTTCTCAGAGGGGTTCCTGTAGCAGGATTGTTTAGTCCCTCAGTCGTGTCTGACTCTTTTGCGACTAAATGGACTGTAGCCCACCAGGCTCCTCTGTCCATGGGATTTCCCACGCAAGAATACTGGAGTGGCTTGCCATTCCCTTCTCCAGGGGATCTTCCTGATCCAGAGATCAAAGCTGTGTCTCGTGCATTGCAGGGTCTTTTTTTTTTTAAAAAAAAAAACCATGGAGCCATCAGGAATGCCCATAGCAGGACTAGCATAGTAGAAAATTACCAGGAAGCACAGTTATATCCCATAAAGGACATCAGGCCCACCACATGGGCAGGTCACACCTCAGGGAAGATACAGAATTTCTCTTATTAAGAAGCCCATAATGAGAGGAAGAGTGTAACTCACACACACACACACAATTGTGTGTGACCTTGTCCCACTATGAACAAAATAAGATTTTAAAAATCCTTTGCTTATAATCAGATGACGCTTTTAATTACATAGTCATTTTGAGACCCGTTACCAGGTTGAAATAAGTAAGCAGTGTAAAACACCCTCTCCATTGAGTTTTGGCAATGATCTTTTGAATATCTACAACAATATATTAACCTCTGACCACTTTACAACCTGAGCTGTGACTTGAACTGAGGTCCCCATGGCTTGCATTCTTTGAATCTGTGAAGTATACACTTTCAAAACATTTTTCATTATAGAAGTTACATGTATCCATCGTAGAATGAAGAGACACACAAATAACCTCTGCCTGAAATTCGCCCACCCAAAAAGCCTCACTATTAAATGGTACTGTAGTTTAGCCTCCAGAGCTCTTGCATTTTCAAAAGTCACCCTCCCAATGTGTGCCTTACAATTAATCTCCTTCCTTTAGGAAGTGTTGATTTATGCAGTTAGAAGTGGTGTATCTAATTAAGCTTTTGCCTTGGGGACCATAAGGACTTTCTGGGTCATTCTGCCTTCTGTCAGGAAGAGCTGGCAGTCATTTTCGTAAATCCAAATGAGGTTCATCACAAGCTGTACCCCTGGTCTCTTGGGTTCCTTCAGTATGTTTAGTTGAACTTTTGTAATATTTGCTCTGGAAGGTACATCTCAGATTTCCTTCTCTACATCTTAATATTCTCACTCCTTATCATACAGTTCCAAAATGCAACATGCACCTAATGTCTAACAATAGCTCATCTGGGATCACTTACTTATCTCCTCAGGACCTTTACTCCAAAAGCGCAGTCTTTGTTTACAGGAAACGTTAATTGGATTAACTGATGCTTCTATTTATTCTTCAGTTTCTGGTGTTTTCCAGTTTATGTCAAATATTTACACACAAAGCATTGCCCTTTTCCTTTAATACATTTTCATGGATTTATAAAGTTGGTTTTTTTCATGCTGCACTCTGCTGTTTCAATCATATGTTTGTTTCCATGTCTATTTTCACATTTTTCTTGAGTGCTCTTGTACTTCCTCTTTTAAAGCCAAAAGGGTAAGAGTCATCAGTCTATTGAGGAATGGCTTCTTGGATCCCAACTGGGTCATCCATTCCTGTAGGAAATCTTCACATGAAACCTAAAGCAGTGCTCTTGGGCAAAATCAAATTCCTCATAGTATCCCAAGGTTACCCTGATTGTAGACCAAAGTGCATCCCATCCCAGACACTCAAGATTTCAAACATACAGGACTCATGTAGAGGACAATGCTAAGTCAGTGGCTTCCCCCTGACCTTATTTGGCAGCAGTACTTTTTGGCATCAGGGACTGGTTTTGTGGAAGGCAAGTTCTCCGTGTTACTGAGGGCGGAATGGTTTGGGGATGATTCAAGGGCTTTTCCAGTGGCTCAGGTGGTAAAGAATCTGCCTATAATGCAGGAGAACTGGGTTTGATCCCTGGATCGGGAAGATTTCCTGGAAGAGAGAATAGCTATCTACTTCAGTATTCTTGCCTGGAGAATTCCACAGACAGAGGAGCCTTGTGGGCTACAATCCATGGAGTTGCAAACAGTCAGACATAACTGAATGATTAACACTTTCACTTTCAAGTGCATTACCTTTATTGTGCACTTTATTCCTATTATTATTATATCAGCTTCACCTCAGATCATCAGGCATTAGATCCTGGAAGCTGGGAACCACTGTTCTATGGCATAGATAGACAAGCCATTTCCTTATTGATCAGGCCCACTTTAAGAAAAAAAAGCAGAATGGGATAGACTTCCAAGGACAAAGACTAAAACGAAAAGTGTTCTGTCTTGTATCATTTGCTTGTCTTGGCTGGGGGAGATGATTCTTTCATTTCTCATATTGTCATTTCTTTTCATAGTTTTAGAAAAACTAACTTTTTCCCTGTGAAGTCGTCTGAATGTCTCTAAGAAAATGAATTGCTGACCTCTGCTTTGTTGGTTTCTTTAGAAACAAAAACATAAATGGCCTACTGGTAATAGGAGTT